AATTGCTCTGATAAAGAAGTTTTAAGAGTCAATCAGTCAAGGACAATTCTTGTTGAGGATAGTCGAGCATTACTGAAAAGTTTTCGCCAAGTGAACAAACAAAACAAGGAATTGCACCGTTCAAAGTGATTAATATGCAGTAATATTTTTTTAAGTTCCTGATTTCTAGTTTTCTCAATAAAAGTAGTTAACATAAAAAAATCTTATTTTTCGCCAGCTTTTACAAAACTGATCAAAGTGTACAACCTCTAAATATTATCCAAGCTTCCTGAAATTCTGCATATATTTCTATTATAGCTCTGAAATTCGCGTAGTAAGCAAAGTTTTTACGCATTTATTTTTTTGCCTATTTAAAAATTTTATTTTTTGCCTTACAAAAGAAACTCCCTAATGTATATAAGTATGTAAAATATGAAACCAAATTATTAAGCTTAATTGGAATCAATATGCAATAGATCTTCAGATTCATAAATTTTAATTGAACGCTTTGTGCTGCTGCATATTACATCACGCTTTCCCTGTAATTTCTCTGCACTGTGACATCTGTAGCCCAGTTACAATCAGAATTAACACAATGACTTTCCAACTATAAACAGGACTAAAGTAAATGGGCAATGCTTTTTCTCACTTGCTGTTGCCCGAGTCTCTTGTTTTGCTGCCTTTTTCATTATCTAAAATGTAAACTGTGTATATTAAAATTGCAGGGCGTGTTTGGGCATCTCTAGTGTTGCATCAGTTTTAACCAGATGTATATTTCTGAAGCAATTGTTCAAGTGTAAAAATAAAAATGATGTTTTAATCAGCAAACAAGTTATGATTTTTGCAACAGCCCTAAGAAACATTCATCTCGTCCATCTTCCTCCTAAAAACCACATCATTACGGAGATCATCCAAGGCCAACTAGATTATGTATATATGTATAGTTTATAAAATAAATATTTTTTTTTTCAAATCAGTGTAGATTTTTGTTATTAGTTCAAGTTTAAATACGTGATTACACAGATACTACAGTACAAAGTTCGAAATCCGGACTCGTCGTGACTTCGGCGATTCCGGATTTGGGATTTAGATCATCAATGTAAATCTGGTAACATGGCATTCAGAAATTATACAATTAAAAATATGAAATCGTAATTTATGAAATAAAGAACAATAATGATCTAAAGGGTATCAAAATTTACAAAACAAAGCTTAATATTTATGTTTTGCTTTATTAAACAGTTCTTTCAATGCATATTGTTTAAGTTGATTCCATAAAAAATTGTGAAAGTTCCTTTTTCTTATGTCATATACAATTGACTTTCCAATGCCGTACTCCTCGCATAATTTTGATACGGATATGCCTTTATCCATTTTTTGCAGCAATTCCACTTTTTATTTAATGGACATAGAAACATGGTTTCGCTTTGTAGATCCTTTCGCAGCTCCAGAACTGGAAACTCTTTTCAATATAATCGAAAGTTCAAGCTTTTTTTATATAAAATTGCTGTGATAATAACAGTCTGCAAAAAATAATGGGCTGGATCAAATTCGAAAATTAAGGTGCAGCGCAGTCTGCTACATTAACTGAAATGCCTTAGAATGAGTTAAGATAATTTTAGCCTAGCTTAATAGCGTCCGTTATACATTATTGGCTGTGTATCACAAGATTAGCGACGAAAGCCAAGCTGTTCCGTTTAATTTTGTCTTGCTCCTATTGCGTACTGAATTAAGCCGGAATTGTATTAGTTATTTACTATACCTAAGTTTACTTCTTGCACATGCTTAAAACTAATTTGAGGCCTGAATAAATAAACTCCCACATATACTTAAGGCTTTATCTAGATCCGGCCCTACACACACACACACACACACACAGATCGTATTTTATTCTCGAGTGTCGATACCGCCTGGTGCAGTCTCTAATTTCTGTTACAAAGAGCCTTCCTAAGTTCTAAATTTTCGCCGCGCCTAAACTTTGGATTCCAGTGCTCCCTCCCCCTAAATTATAAAAAACTTCTCATCCCTTAATTTTGCCGCTCTGTGCTTCCCCAAATTCCAAAAATTGTGTCTTTCCTAAATTGCCGCCGCTTCTGGGTTTATGGATTATAACATATCAGTTATTCTTAATTAAAATAGCACTAAATGTAATCTTCTGGCCTATGAGTATCATTAACAAAACCTATTTTTAGCATATGAAAAGAAATTTTTATTGAACTTTTCCTCATCAACATTTCTTAGAGCACTTAAAAATTCCATAATCATCGCCACGCTTAATGTTAGCAGAAAACGTTGCCTTAGTCTTGTTATTCAATTATTAATATAAAAAAAAGTTTAGACATCACTGCATGAGTTATTACTGAAGCTATCATGTATTGATACACATGCGGTGTTGAAAGCAATATAGAATAAATAATGACTCGCTAGGTTGACGTCAGGGATATAAAATAAGTGAATGTTTCGGTTTGAGATGTGGTGCCAAGCAGACACTCAGCTGCGGACCCAAATTATTAACCTCACAAATTTATGCGTACATGATTGTTTTTTCATAACTATTCATTTTATTTAGTGCCTAAGTAAAATTAAGGATTGGAATTTTTAAGTGAAAATCTCCACACATTTTATTATGGAAGAAAAAATCAAATGCGCATGCGTAAAGCATACCAAAAAAAAATGGTTTGTGGCTTTGAGGTCCGGATTTTAGATCATTCTGGATAATGGACGTTCGGATTTCAGACTTTTTTCTGTATATATTTTTGCAATTACTTACCTGTATAAAGTTCAGCTCTTCTTTTAATGTTACTTGTAGAAAAATAATTTTTAGTAATATAAAATTGGACATTTTGAAGAAGTTAGTGTGTAAGAAAATTTAGGTTTAACATGACTAAAAAGATTGAAGTTCGATTTTTCTTTCATGCATCAAAAATAATTTCAGCATTCATGCTAAATACTTTTAATGTTTTCTTTATGTGAGTCTCAAAAAGTGATTATTCTTAATGCATTACAAGGAGCCTCTTTACACTTGTTTAATGTGTAATTCCTTTTTACGATACTTTGGATATTAATTATTCCTCCATGTTGTCATATTTTAGTAAATATTGAATTACGGTAGCTTTTGTAATAAAGGTTTTGCATGATATTGTGAACATTTGTAGGAAAATTCAAGCGTTCTGGTGTATTTCTTTTGATAAGAATACATTTTATTAACCTATTACCGGACTTGTGCATTCAGTCTATTACGAACCCATACGCACGTAACATTTTTTGGTCCCAGAAGTGGGATTCATTGTCAGTAACTAGCAACGGTGGAGCAACGAGTAACGAGCGACAGCTGGTGGCATTGTTTGCTGCATTTAAAGAAGAAATGAAAACGAGGCATGATTCTGTTAAAGCAGAGGGGAAAGCTCCAAGATTACGTTACACAGGAGATGAAAGTCGTTCAAGAAAAGATGGAAGAATCCGTTCCAGAAAATATTGAAGCAGGTCAAGAGAAAATAAAAAAAGAAATTACCTGCATATTAGAAAAACAAATCTGAGGCTATGGAAGGCAGAATAGAAGCTGATGAAAATAAAGTTGGACACACTGAAGAAAGAGTTTCTTCTGTGAAAGAACAAATACAAGAGACAGTTTCTGCTATGGATCAACCAATCGATGGAAGAGTTTCAGCCTTGCAGCAACAAATTAAAGAATGAGTTTTTTCCGTCCAAGGACATATCGAACAACAAATTTAAGACAGAGTTTCTGTGGTCGTCGCCAAAGAAGTTGACACATTAAAGAAATGCATAGCGACAACAGGAAGTAATGCTGATGGCTTTAAATGTTTGCCATTGCCTGCTCGTTTCACTCTGAAGTTACTCACATATAATGGGAATACTTCTTACCAAGTATATAAGATACAGTTTTCTATAGTGGCGGAAGCGAATGGATGGGATCCCCAAGCTAAGGCCTGTCATCTCGTCGCTTCTCTGAGAGCAGACGTTGCGGATGTTCTTCAGACTCTTCCCGAAAACGAAAGGTGATTTCGAAACTCTTCCCGGCCCACTGGAGCTGCGCTAAAGTATTGAAAAAATCACAGCAGGCTTCAATTAAAATCCCGTCAACGGAAACCCACGCAAACTCCCCAGGAACTTGCCACTTATGTTGAAAGGGCGTCTCATTTCATCTTTTCGGAATGCCCGACAGAAACAAGAAAAATCCTATCTTTGCAGTACTTCATCGACGGCATCCGAGATCCGGAACAGAGTCGTAGCTAGGGTTTTCAGCGCCCAGGGACAACTGAAGATTTCAAGCCGCCTACTGCTTGCCAAGGATGGAAAACATTTAATTCTAAAATGTCGTAACATCAGTTTGGCGCCCCTTGGATTCTGCGCCCGGGGACAGATGCCCCTTGCCCCCTCTAGCTACGCCCCTGTTCCGGAAATATGCCAAGTTTCATGACCCATAAACATTGTAATTGGCTACATAAATGGGATGATTAAGCTTATGCTCTTGTGTGAACATGAAATCGGGGGAGTACTCATTTATGAAGTTCCGAAGTTCATTAATCTTTTGGCACAATCCATTAGCACATCCAGGTAATGATACTTATTGTACAAATTAGTCATGATTATTATTTACATTGGAACTGAAAATATCCTCGAAAGTTGAAAAAAGTACAAACAGTTTATGAATTGTATTTTCTGTCTCCTGTAAATGAGGTAGACGAGAAGAAATTTTTCGAATTATTTGTAAATAGTGAAATACCATTAAACATACATTTTAATTCACAGAACAGTTTTTGAACATCTTTAAATATTTCTAATAATGGCTCCAAAATAGACTCATTGTGCTTAGAACTATTTTTAGCACTAATACTTTTTTTTTAACAGTATGATTATTTTCTTTCAGAACACTTTTGGTTGGAACCTTAGTAAGCACTTGATTTTTCACAGCATTAGCGTAAGATATTCTAGGGATAATTTTAGAAGTATTTACATTAACATTTACTTTTTATTTGAACATTACTAGGATTGCTAAGTAAATTTCTCGAAAGAAATTTCGGGCACCCACGAGAATAGCCATTAACAGATTTGTGATTTCTTTTCTTTTACGTTAACGAGCATATTAAACCCCCTGGATATTATATTTTACTATTTACCAACATAATATTTATTAATAAATACAGAGAACCTTAATAATACCCACTACCGTTGACATCCATGACATCTATTTAGATTTGTTGCGTAATATGGCAGTAATGTATACTTCTGTGGTGTATGATTTTGGTGATGTGCACCACGAGCTGAACTGCGCTTTTATTTAACATTTCTTAAATTGTCTTTAAATCGTATGGTGCTGTTAAACGTCAAATAACGAAAGAAAATGTCAGAAACTTACGGTAAGTTATCGTTTAAGTGATTCCAGTTTCTGACTCTTAAGTGAATGCATGTACCTGTATTTTCTCTTAGCTTGATGGTGTTGTCAAAAGGATTTAGGTGATACACATGATTTTGTTATTAATTGTTTAAATAAAATAAAATGAAACCTAAGTGTCTTACTATATCAAAATTCAATCGCGTTTCCTCTGTACGCGATGAATTGATCTCTGTAGATATTTTTGGGAATGCCTTTGTTAATCTGTTTACGTTTCCGTCTGCTAGAATTCTCATATTTTGATTCAGTTGTTCCAATGAACGGAAAACTATTTTATGAATTATTTACCCATATGCGATTCGGAGTTTATCAGATGTTTTCAGTTATAGCTACCCGGGTTAAAATTGTACTAATTATTATTCAAAATTTTCACTTACGGCTGATTAGATCTCAAAAAATAATTTATTACTTTGCATTGTTAACTTAATCCTGCAAACCACCAAAAAAATTTGATAAAATAATTTATCATCGAAAAATTAAATCAAAATTTTATTAGAATTTCAATAATTATACGGAGTATGATTATTCTAACCCAATTATTATTATTATTATACATTAAACGAGTGTTGCAAATTAAGCAACAAGGATTCGTAAAAAAGTATGAATTATTAAATTGAAAACGTTTTAAAATATTAATAATGTTTCATAGCAGGAAATAATGAGTGAGGAATTTTAGCTCATTTACAGTAAAAGAAAGCTATATCTGATTGTGATGAACAAGTGGTAAATATGAATCCTTGTTCCTCATACTTTGTAAAATTAATGTATTATTTTATATCAAATTCCATATTGCATGTTGTTTTTTCATTTAAAATAAAATTTAATAATAGTTTTAATTCTATAACTGATGACACATGATTTTTGATACTGCAGCTAGTATATTTTAGATTAAACAAAATATCTTCTAACCAGCTATAGACTGAAACTGTTTTTTTATCTTGTTTCTTAAACATAGGAAGAAATTGTTAGGATATAATTTTCACATTTTAGAATTTTCTATTAGGATAATTTATTGGGATAATCTATTAGGATTTATAAATAAATTTATATCAACAAAAGAGTTTCATTTTTCTAAAATCTAATTTTTGATGCTTGGAATTAATTATATGGCCAGTGTTTGCACTTTTACAGCTGATGGATACTGTTTGGTGAAATGGCAAATAATTATAAAGCATGTAAATCAGTATGTACTGAAACACGCATGTGTGTATTGAAAATTGTTGCATATGTAAATACATCTTAGGTGGAAATTAGAATTGTCAGTACCTGAATAATTTTTTTGCTTAGAATCAAGGTTTTTATTTTCCTATTAGTGGTATTGAAAAAAGTTGTTTTACACATTAAATGGTTCATCCTAGAATTTAATATAATTTGTGTTTCAGTTTCAAATCTTGCATAATGTTTCCAGTCTCACCCGGTTAGAAATCTTTCATATAAATCAGTTTCCAATACAGATCTGATAATATAATACAAATCAAGTATTTTGGATCCTATGATCTGTAGTAGAATCTCCTTTTAAATCAGCTCAAGATGTCTGCAAGATACCGGACTTGTATCTGTAACAAAAGGGCATCACACTTGTTATGTTGAAAGGTATTCTATAAAAAAGATAATGAAGTATCATGCAGTTTGAGATAAAACTAAGTAGATATGCTTTCTTTTAACCATTAAGTCAATGTATAAGTGATAAATTATGTTATTATTTTAAATGTTATATAGCACAAATAGTATGCTTTAGTATTTGAAAGGAAATGCTGTAGGGGGCTAGTGCAGTGCATATAATTTAATTAAATATACATATGTTAAATTTGATGTTTTTAACATAAGTGATAATAATGAAGATGTGTTTTATGCACTTCATTAAAAATGATTTGAAAGAATGAACAATGGACTTTTTCCCCACTCGTGCATCAGTGAAAAAAAAGGAAAGTAAGTAGGTTACTATAAATTAAGAATTTCGCCAAAATAAATTTTTAAATTTCTCCATAAATTTCTCACCAGAAATTGCAAAATTTAATATCTATGCATAATTTCAGTCATAGAATCAATATGGAAAAATTTATATATTATTTCAGAAAAAGTCTGATTTTGTGTAAAAATACCTATGTTAGAATGATGTTATTTATAAATCTAATACAGTACAAAGTCTTTAATCCGGACATCCATAATTCGCAATAATCTATAATCCGGACCTGAAAGCTACAAACTTCCTGTGTGTGCGTAAATGCATTTACGCATGTGCATAATACCTTTACACATGCACATATGCGTTTACGCATGCACGTAATACGTTTATGCATGTGCGTTTAATGTATAACAGACGGTATAAGGTAAGCTAAAATTATCTTATTATCTGTTTCAGTTAATGTTGCTGATTGCATTGTTCCTTAATCTTCTAATTGGATCCGGCATATTATTTTTTGCAGAGTGTTAGAGCAATTTTATAAAAAGTAAGCTTGAACTTTTGATTATGTCAAAAAGAATTTCCGATTCAGGAGCTACCAAAAGGATCTACAGAGCGAAAGCATGTTTTCGATGTCCATCAAACAAAAAGTGGAATTGCTGCAAAAAATGGGATAAAAGGCATATCCTTATGATTCTCTAATCATTCCGAAATATGTTTATCAATTTCACGCTGCTTCTGAGGGGTGGGGGACGACGCGGCGCGCAATAAGATGGAAGTTGATCTGTCAGCACTATCCTCATCTTCAGGGCAGATTTTTATTATTCATTATAATTCCTTACTAAATGTAGTATTTCATCTCGATGTACTCTGATATGATTTAAATCAAATTCCTCGTCATTAGAAATATCACGAATACACATCAAATAGTTTTCTGGTTGCAATTTTCTAATTTCGACCATGCATAATGTATGCTTTACACAAGTGCAACATTTAAAATTAGCGGCTGTCATCAGCAAATTTAGCTATCCTTCACTCTACATATTTGGCTATGTATCATAAGCTTGGCAACTAACGGCAAGTGGTTCTGTTAAATTTTATCTTGCTTCTATTGCGCACAGAGACGATTAAGCCTGAATTGTATTAGTTTAGTTATTTATTATACTTATGTCTATTTCTTGCACATGCCTAAGGCTTATCAGAAATTCCCACATATACTTAACTCCCTGACTGCTCAATTTGTGGACCGAAATCGCTTCCAAAATTGATTATTTTTTTTTTTTTAGCATATTTTAAATCTATACATGTAGGAGAATTGAAAAATGCACTTTTTCTTCCTAGAAAATATTTTTTATATAGATTTTTATCATGAAAAACTAAGCTGACAAAAAAAACCAATTTCAAATGTTATTACAAAAAAAAAAAAAAAAAAACTTTTTAAAATAAATTTCAGTCGAATTACAGTTAATTTCTATTTATTGCATAATATAAAAAAGTAAAATGTATAAAATTTAAGAAAATATAAAGCGCTGAGGGAAAAATGCCTTAAAAATGCAGTTTAGTATGATAGAGTTCAAACTTCACAGTCTTTGCACCAGATTTAATAAATCTAATCAATAATCAATCTAATTGTTAATCTAATCAATAATTCAATAATTTAATTAAATAATCAAGATAATTGCTGAACATTTTCTAGCAGCCATTTCTGTAAGAAAAAAGCAGCAAAAAGTGAAGTTTGAGCGCTAATACCACGTGCCTTCAAATGCCACAATTTAGTGGACAACCAACGATATCTGTTAGCCAAAAGGTAAAATAAACACCTAATACTGTATGTAATTTATTCCAATGGTTAAACAGGAAAAAAACGGGTTGTGCTCCTCAATAAAGGAAGAAAAACATATGCCCGTGGAAATCGCGGTATGAGCAAATTTTGCTACATTTGAGTTGCTCGTGGAAATCGCGGGATGATCAGCCAGAGGGTTAAGCCTTATTGAGGGCCGGTGCTAGATATCTTACCGCCTGATGCAGTCTTTGTGGATCCTAAATTCTGCTACTCAGTGCGGCCATACGTACCCTGGTGCTGGTTCTGGGTTTATGTGAATAACAAATCAGTTATTCTTAATTAAAATAGACAGCCCTAAATGTAATCTTTGGGTCTGTGAGTAACATCAACAAAATCTATTTTTAGCATGTGGAAAGAAATTTTTGGTAAATTTTTCCTCGTCAACATTTTTTAGTGCCTTGAACTTAAATCTGTAATCATCGCCAATCATGATGCCAACATAAAAGGTTACCATACTCAAAGGAGTATTTTTCAATTACTAACATAAAAAATATTTTTAGGCATCACTATATGAGTCATTATTCAAGTTGTCATGTTTTTATTAGCATGCAGTGATGAAAGGAAAGTATAATAAATAATGATTCGCCAAGTTGGCGTCAGATCAACTATGTATCTGTGTGGAATGTTTCAGTTTGAGATGTGTGCCAAAGCAGATAAGCAATAACAGAGCCAAATTACTGATCATTCAAATTTATGCTAAAATGATTTTTTCTTCATTAACAAGGTATTTTATTTAGTGCAAAAGTGAAATTAAGAATCGGGACTCTACAGGTGTTTTATTAAGCATAGAGGGAAGAATCAAATGCACATGAGTAAAGCCTACGAGAAAAAACGGTTGTGGTGGTTTTGAGGTCCGGCTTTTAGATCATTCCAGATAATGGATGTCCGGATTTCATACTTTGTACATCATTAAATGTATATGTTACTGTGAAAGACCAAAATCTGGAGAATGCTGACTTTCTCCAGTGAATGTCAGTATACACAGAGTCGCTTGGTGTATGTCCAAAATATTTGCTAAATATTTTTATTTCTCGCTTACAGTGGAAAATTCAATGTGCACTAATGGTGAATGTTGAATAAAAATATTTTTGTTACATCTTTAAATCATACTTATCATCGATCATATTATGATATATGTGAAAATAGGAAAAAGCTTAAGTAGCAGCACATGCAAATAAGTCGTTGAACGTAAAATGAACAGTATATTTTGAATGAGAAAAGAAAATAACACCTATAATAAACTTACTTGATTATGTGATTGACGTTATACAGTCTTATTTATTGCAACAAAACCGGTGATGGTCTGAATGTATAAGAATATAACCAAATATTCCATCTTTAACCGATGTATTTCGAGAATGTCGACATTCTCCAGTTTGGGTCTTTCACGGTAACAAATATTAACGTTACCTTGCATATAATGTGAGGATTTGAAGTATTAATATTGCAATATATAAATTATGTGAAGTACTTCTAAATGCTTTGTGAAATGTATTCATGTGAATGCCGTGACTATGGATAATTACAATTGCATAAAATATTTTGGTACTTTTCCATTTCGTCGGTGCAGATCTCACCAAGCAGACTTTATTGACACACAGTATGGACATAAAAATTTTAAAAAATGTTAGTTGTAAGAATTTTTTACTTTGGAGGCATAAACATTTTAATTTTGTTAATTTTTTTTAAATGGGTCTTTTGTTTCTCTTCTCCGCATAAATTTCACAAGATAACTTTCCAGATGATGACGTGCCGTTCCTCTGCATTTCTTATTTTGCCATTTGGCGTTATCCCACCGTCTTTCTACTTTTTGTGTGTGCGTTCCATTTTTCGGATCGACAAAATTGTATTAACAATTTAGATCCTTTGAAACTTTCCTCTTCCAGTTTTTCAGTGCACTATGATTTCCATGAATAGGAATTAGAGTAGTTCTTTTTTATATTTTCCTTAATTGCTTCTAATATAATACTCATGGATCAGTTTGGCACAACTCCACTAAAGATCCACTGTTGTGGTAGAATCCGTCCCACATTGTTTTTTTTTTTTTTTTTTTTTTTTTGTGAACATACTTTCATCCACTTTGACAATCATACCAGGTCCATCTATTTTCCATTGTTGACGTTAAACAAATAATCGACACATACCTTGCACTTTAGTTATTCCAGTCCACAACTGTTCTGAAACTGATTTCTAACTGCTTTTCACACCCTTTTACTGAAGTTAATTCTTCATTCCAGCCATAAATAAACTTCACACACTTTCAAGAAACTCGATTTCGATGACTCAAACTATGTGCCTTTCCGTAACTTCTTTTACTGCGACAGGTTGAAAAAACGTGGCGTCATCAAATTTCATCTAAAAAAAAAAAAAAATAATCTTAATTATAATCACAAGTAGCAGTTTTAGGCAAAATGCCTTTCATTTGAAAGAATCTAACAGATTCTTCCTCTGTTCTGGGCAAATTCCAAATTTTCGTTGGTTTTTCATATATTTTTGATGTATTATTAATTTAAGAACTTTCTATGCTTTCATGGTACATCGTGATTCTCCGGTTCATATCATATGACCCGAAGTGATCTCATCTCGCGTAAACTGCACTACACAAATTTAATTCTGTAAGTAATTATCCACATTAACTTCAAGTTAAATCTTAATATAGAATACAAGTTTAAATGCAAGAATTGTTTCAATTCATATGAATTGCTTACTCAGAAATTATGTAAAACCACAGTGCTTTATTTCACTAGTGCATTCTAGTTAGAATTGATGAATGTAACCCTTGATTTTCTATATTTTCGCCTTTGAGTGAGCAGCATGATTGCACCCTAATGGACTTAATTACCGTAAATAGCCTTAAAGCATAAAATTGAACTATCTGGTAAAAAGTCTGTGTAATTGTATGCCAGTATTAAAAGAAATGGTAAGAAATGGCAGTGAATTGTTTTGAAATTGTGGCATAAAAGGTTACCAGCCAAGATATTCTCTTTGGCATCAGTTGTACCATTTTTGGCGAGATTATTGCCTGTGTCGGCGAAATGGAAGTGTACCAATATTGTATATTGTCATATAAAATATTTTGAGTAATAGATAACACGTTTCGTGTTATTAACAATTGTTTTGGTTAATAGATAACACGTTTCGTGTTATTAACAATTGTTTTGGTTTATAGTCTGATTACTTTTTATTATTGAAAATAAGGCAATGTAAAATATTTTTAATCATTTTCAGACTTTCTTTTCAAATTTCTTGTCATTGGAAGTGCAGGTACAGGAAAATCTTGTCTTCTGCACCAGTTCATTGAAAGTAAATGTAAGTATATGTGACAGCTAAATTATATGCTTTTAAAATTGCTTTTTGGAAAAATGAAATTATAATTGTGGAGACAGAAAGTACTGAAAATTATAAATCTAGAAGGAAAGAAGTAGAGGGAGAAGTAGGCCCGGTGGCGCAGTGGCTAGTGCATCGCGCAGCAGCACCACAGATCCGGGGTTCGAACACCGGGCTGGGCAAGGTCGAACTCAGCCCTTTCATCCCTTGATTTCCATCCCTTGGGTCATAAAATGAGTACCAAGTTCGCTTGCGGGACTAAACACTGGGGGTCCTGCTGACAAGCTGACCACTTGTTCAGGGCATATGTTTATGCACCTCCGGCGCCCAACTGTCAAGAAAGCAGATTTCGGGGCACTGCAGGCATTGGCCCACTAGGGCTGTTACACCACTGAGATTAGTTTAGTTTAGAGGAAGAAGTAAAGAGAATTTTATTCATTTATCATGCATATGAGGGAATGTATTTGTCTTTTTTTCTATTTGTTGCATTTCATTAATATAAATCTTTTTTTTTTAATAATTTTCTGCCTTTGTTTTAAAAGACATCAATAAGTTTTTTAATTATTTTTGGGGTATTTAGAAGTTTTACTCTTTAAGAAAGTTGCATTTTTTGCTGATGTAAAAATGAAGTTGTGTTAATAATTTCTCAGAGTGTCAAAAATTTCATAATTTTGAGTGAAAATTATAGTTTTTTCTTTGCTTTAAGGAACTGATTTCTTATTTTTAATCTTAAAGCATTAGTAAAGGATTCTGTTTCCAACAGAGGTGTAGCTAAAACTTCAGTTGCACAAGAAAAGTTCCTGAATTTGCCGCCTCTCTTGATATACAAACAAATAACTAAAAAACATGCCAAAATGACATGCAGGGAAATAAATTAAAACTGAACATTTATTTCTGAAGAAAACCTTTAATTGCAACGGGGGAAAAAAAAAAAAAAAAAACACCACACACAAATGACATTATAGAGATAGGATTGCTCCAGTTGTTGTTATGTAAAAGTACAGAAAAATTTCCTTCTGTGCAAAATAAGCATTTATAGTTCTTAAATATTTCTTTAATGATTTTATTTAGAAAAAACTCTTCCTTGTGGAGGGGTGGGACCAATCAGTGTATATTAATTTATTATATGCTATTGCAAGCAATACATTTTAAGGAAACAACAAATATTGGATTCACTTGTTTTGCTTAAAGGATCTAATTAATACATAATCACCTAATTTGTATATTGTGTTATATTTTTCAGTTAAAGCAGACTCCAACCATACTATAGGAGTAGAATTTGGATCAAAGGTAGTAAATATTGGTGGAAAGTCAGTGAAACTACAAATCTGGGACACAGCTGGTCAAGAAAGATTCAGGTACAGTATCTAAAATATTTTAAATGTTCTAAGTTATTTAAGGAATATAATAAACTGTAGAATTATGTGCCATTCATTACATGACAATAGTGCCGTATCCTCCAATAAGCATATATGGGCTTGAATCGTCCACTAAAATATGTATAGAAATTATATGTAAAGGAAATATACTTCTAATATCTGCCATTTGCAGCAGGATTGCTGAGATTATCTCAGACTATCATCACTCAGACTATCATCAGTGCATTCATTTCACTAAATTAATTTTATTATTAGTGTCCTATCTGTTGACTCTTGTAACCAAGCTTCTTTTGATTCAATATCTTAAACAAAGGGAAGCTGTTAGTTTTTCAAAACATTTATATTGTGTTCCACCATTTTATTGTTATTATTATTGCTTGGCCAATTGAAATGTGTATGTAAAAGTAATTTTTGTTCTCCACACAGTTAACATAAGGACCAACACACTGAGATCATTTAAATTCTTGGATCCTAATCTAAGAAGTCATTAAATATTTTTTCTAAACTTTGGAATAACTGCTTTTACTGATGGCCAGTATAAAAGAATTCACCAAAAAAAGTTCTATTCCCAGCGAAGGCGGTTACATATTTTTCATCTTTTCTGCTTGCAATTAACCTGATGACTCTACAATATATGTATTGAATTAATTAACTTCTCGCCTCTAAGGGTAATTCCTAATTGACATTATATGGGAACTATCTATTAGTGACATTATTAGTATTATTATTATTGAATGCAACAGTGTTCTTGTATAAACGTGCTTGAGGATATTTAGAGGACAGAGATATTTACCTCCTGTGTGTTGTGTTTACGAACTAGTGCAGAAGTGAGGTGAACGTTTCTCCTCTAAACTCGAGAAAAGTTCTTCTCAAAGGAAAGGAATATAGCTGTAACGTCTTAAGCTATTTTATTGACCATCACGAAGTTCTCAGAAAAAGAATGACCACCACGAAGTTCCCAAAGATAGAGTATTTCTTAGCGAATTCTCGGAAAGAGGAAGTGACCAGCACTCACAAAACAATCTCAGCTTTTTTGTTCCTCTTATAGTTGTTCGAAGGGAGACATTGTTCCGTTCTCTTTCATCAGTTTATAGGTTCTGTGTCTCAGACCACCTGGTTTGAGACCCCAGTTGGAATTGAAAAGTTCTCACGGATTTTTCCCAGGCTGTCTTCTTCATATCCAGTTTTTAATCAAAATTCTCATGCCAATTAAGAGGTGCTTCTAAAAATTACAAAGAAGGATCCTGGAAGTTTTTCCGCCACACCCAGGACAACTTGAACAAAATCATGGAACGCAGTTCCAGAGAGAAAAGAGTGAGTGAATTGCAGTAAGTTGAGAGAGAAACGTTCTCTCGGTTTTCCAGCTCGGCTACGAGCAAATTTTTTCTTCGCTCTGCATAGAGCGATATTAATATCTCTGCCAAGAGATTTACAGCGAGGTAGCCGGGTTCGCCGCTATCTTACGAAGAGCATCCTGCTCAGACACAGCTCAGTCCGGCAACCGGCTTAGAGAGTTGATTAATTCTAAATAGTCTTATCTTGAACCAACCTTCAGCTTGAACTATTTCCAAACAAGAACTTTCATCTTGGCTGAGTTCTAAACAGGAACTTTATTCACACCGTCTGGAACTGGTTATATTTCTTTTCCCCTCACCCTACTGTGAGAACAATACTGTATAAGTTTATTTATTTTTATTTTATTTTATTTATTTATTTATTTTTGCATATAGCCTAGAAAGAACCCAAATAAATTTATTTGTGCTACCTCTTGCCTTTTTGAATTCGTCATAGTGCATTTATTCTATTGTGGTTTATGCGCTATCGATAAAGTAGATTTAATTCAATCCAATAAGATTAAGGAAAAAAAAAAAAAAATGCGTATAATTTAATATTCCATACGAGGAAGTCATGTGGTGTACATATTAGATTTTTTTAAATCCAAAATTCGCTCATTTCTGAAGGCAGGTGCAGAATTTCATAAGTATTGCATTTTTTATTTTGTATGTAAACATTGCCTCACATGATTTAGTGACAATTAATTTGCCGGCGTATAAGACGCACCGCCCAATAAGACTCACCGCCTTTTTTATACACATTTTTTAAGGCTAAAACTTTATTTCCGATCCTTATAATGAATTTAGAGTATTTTAAATATAAAGTAATGCTTTCTGCAAATATTCAATCTATCTGGAAAGAACACCTTCTTCGTCAAAACCTGGACACTCATCTCCAGAGCTAAATGAAGAGGCACTTGAAACTTCTTCTAAATCAGCATCTGAGTCCGCATACAGTCAAAAGTCTTTAATCCGGATGTCCATATCCGGAATGATCTATAATCCGGACCTGAAAGCTACATGATAATGGCATGAGAATTTTGATAATACGAGAATTTTGATAATACGCGTAATACCTTTATGCATGCGCATAATATGTTTACGCATGCACGTTTAATGTATAAATTGATGGTATAAGCTAAGCTAAAATTATCCAATTATCTATTTCAGTTAATGTTGCAGAATGTGTTGTTCCTTAATCTAATTGGATCCGGCTTATTATTTTTTGCAGACTGTTAGAGCAATTTTACAGAAGTAAGCTTGAACTTTCGATTATATCAAAAGGAGTTTCCGATTCTGGAAACTTCTAACTCTTCTTAGAAGAAAAACTTAGTTTTAATAATTAAAGGGCTATAACTTAAAATTGATTAAGGCTAGAATTAAGAAAGTAGTCTCAAATTAAAGAGCTAATTTTCGGCATCTATTGATAATAAATTCTAAGGGTTTAACTTAAGTCATGGAAAACTGAGTTTATTACTTGAAAATTCACCTATATCCATTGTCTGGGTGAGAATGCGAGTACGACAAGCTTGAAAATGAAGTGGACAAAGAACGACGCTAGCTAATCTTTTCGTGTAAATTAAGATAAACTAAATTGATCAAATAATATATATCAATAAACCAATAAATTAATAAAACCAAAACATGTTGTGTAGCTTAAACTTTAGAGTATCGACACATTGAAATTTTTATTACTGTGATTAAAATAGTTACATTAAGTATGCTACACAACAATGAAAGTAAGCTTGAACTTTCGATTATGTGAAAAAGAATTTCCGATTCTGGAGCTGCCAAAGGATCTACAAAGCGGAGCCATGTTTTGATGTCCATCAGACAAAAAGTGGAATTGCTGAAAAAAATAGATAAAGGCATATCCTTTGTTTCTCTAACCATTCCGAAATCTGTTTATCAATTTCACACTGCTCTTCGAGGAGGGGGGGGAAGACATCGCGGTGCACAATGAACTGGAAGTTAATCTGTCAGCACTATCCTTATTTTCAGGGCAGATTTTTTTATTCGGCATATAATTCCTTACTAAATGCAGTATTTCATCTCGATGTACTCTGTCTTTGATATGATATAAATCAAATTCCTCGTCATTATAAATATCATGAATACACATCAAATAGTTTTCTGGTTACAATTTTCTAATTTCGACTATGTGTAATGTATGCTTTACGCATGCGCGCGTTGAAAGAAATGGTTAATAAAGTAAACAAATAAATATTAAGCTATTTTTTTTTTGTAAATTTTGAAACCCTTTTGATCATAATTGCTCTTTATTTCATAAATTATGGTTTCACATTTTTAATTTTATAATTTCTGCATGCATGTTACCAGATATAAACTGAGGATCTATAATCCGGAAAAACGATAATTCCGAATTGCCGAAGTCCCAACGAGTCTGGATTAAAGACTTTTGACTGTACAACAAAGAAGACTGTATCCAGCTGTTCCACTTCTCCTTAATAAATCCCTTAAATGGTGTATTAATGCAGACATCTAAATTTTGAAGCTGAATAGTTAGGCCTCCTGGAATTACAGCTAACTGAGTTTTCAAATCTTTGAGTTCATTTTTAACATCTTCTGTTCTGTGAGAACAAAACTGATCCAATAGTAGTAAGGCAGGTTTCTTCAACACTCCGCCAGGGTACCTCGATCGAATTTCATGTATCCATAAGGTGTAATATTGACGTATAAGACGCACCCCCATTTTTTAGATCCGTTTTCAAAGAAAAAAGTGCATCTAATACGCCGGCAAATCATCGTATTTGCCGGCGTATGAGATGCACTTTTTGCCGGCGTATAAGATGCACAGAAAAAAGTGCATCTTATACGCCGGCAAGTACAGTAAATAATTATTTGCGTTTAAAAAAATTGAACTTGTTGCATTTGTTCTATCATCAACTTCTTCTGTTCAGTAGATATTTGAAAATGTAAGGAATTAAGTTATTTGAACCCGTTACATTTCATACTTACCAGGTGATTAAATTAAATTTTATGAATTTTTACATTAATTTCAAACAAAACGTTCCAGCACCTTTTGAGATAAAAATAATTTGGCCACTTCAAGAAAAATTAGTAAAGTAGAATGATGCAAGTACACATATCTTGCATGAGTTTTATTTGTAATATAATTAAGCTGTAAGTACTTTTCTTAAAGCCTTTTAAAAATGCTTTCCTTAAAAAAAAATTAGAGCAGTAAAGAAATGAATCCCTTTTTAAAGCTTTTTTCTTAATTTTACAATATGTAGAAACTCAGAAAGATGTTAAAAAAATTAATTACACTGTAGTGAATTTGCGCTTGTATGTATTCGTATAAGAAGGAGGATACTGTGACATGTATATACATACTTGCACTTATCAGATTGCACAATATCAGATTTACTAAAATGTACAAATACATACATACCTGAAAGCCATCTTGCAGTACCATTTGTTTAGAATTCTGTGCTGAGTATTTGTATTTATACTGAATCCTTTCACCCTTTTTTTTTTTTTTTTCATTCTTCAATTGAATTTATACTTGATTGTATAGTGAATGCACCGCAAACTTTCCAGTTGTTGAAGCAGTAATGATGTTGACATTTCTTATAGGAAAAAAAACAAATTTTAATGCTGTATTGCGTTTACACTTCAGTTATACAAAGATCTAAACGTCGCAATTGTTTCCACTCACATTGCGGTACATCGACCATGTACCGCAGTTACCAGCACCAAATTCTCTTCTGAGCATGGACAGTTAAGCAACATTTGTTTAAAATTGATCAGCTCAACCTGTCTGCCATTACACATTCCTGCCAACAGTGAATGGTAGCATCACTGTAACCCTAATATCTAGTGATCCTGTGATCTGTCCATCCTACTTCTTATAGTTCAGTTCAATTGCATGTCCTCGTTCACTTGGTGACATCTGCTCATATTGTTCACGAACTTGTCTTCATGGAAATTATGTTAAAAAGTTGTTATTCAATTTTGTTTCAAAATTTTGCAATTGTTATATTATGGAATATTAAACTTTAGCCTTTTTATTTCCTTGTACGAAGTAAAGAAAGTCACGAAAAATTTCGTGTATCGTATTTCAATCGCTCTCGAAACCATCTGAACAATGTTTCTGTGTTGCGTTTGTATATACAGATAAAATAAACAACTGTTTTTGCCAAAAAGTATTGTAAAATGGATTCAGAAGATATTTTTTTCTTGACATCTGTGCATAGGTACATATCTCGTATAACTCAAGAACAAGTAGCCATAGAACTTTTAAATTTTGTATATGGGACTGCTGTGACTTATAGGTTTGCACCTCCTTTTTTTATTGCGATTGTCTTCACCACTTGCATGTAATTATATATGTTACTGTTAAAGTGTATAATTGAGTTATTTCATAGAATAACTAGGTATTTCATGAAATAACTAGCCAAGTCAGTTAAAGTATATAATAGGTGAAAAATTTCATACTTAATTATTCTATGAAATAACTAATGATATACCATTAAAGTAAAAAGTAAGCAATTTCGAAGTTATTTTATAAATTAATTAATCGTAAACAGCTAAAATCTCTCGAAAAGTACATTTTATGCCTATTGCAGATGATTAATTGATAAATAATAAGGAAAAACAGGTGATATAATTTATTACTGCTCATATTGCTAACATTAGTTAAACAGAAAGAAAAAAAAAAAAAAAAAAAAGAGTATGTTGCAGATATAGTTATATTTAAATATTATCAAAAAGTATATGCTGAGAAGAAAAACTATTGCTTCATAAAAACATCATGTAATTTTTTTAAAACAAAAATTGTGAGAGAATATTAATTTAAATTTTATGAAATACCTTTATTTTACTTTTCTTTATTTATTAGAGTAAGGATTGCTGTGATGATACTTTGGATTGCATTGCATATTAGTTTTGAAACAAGAACATTTTTTACTATTACACATTTTTTTACACAAGCACTTTTTAAATCCTTTTCCAGTGCTGCAACTTTGAGCTGTTGCAACAGATCGAAGTGTCGTGTCAATATTCAAAACTTCTTCAATGGAAATCAACTCTTGCTTACGTATACTGAACTGAGATCTAGAGTACAGTTGTTTTATTCGGCCATCTCTTGTTCCTAATCAGAAAAATCCTTCCCCAGTATTTTCCATAATGACAGCTAAAACAGATCTAGCATCTCCTCTTCCTCTATCAACTTCAGGAACTGAAATACGAACTATAATGCCTACAGATGCCCCAGAATAAGATTTGCCAGACAATAATTTCATTTTCGTAGCTTGAATTTCCAAACATTCTTTAGCTCCTTGTCTTTCTCAATATTTACTTTATTTAGACACAAGCTACAGACTTTCTGTTCAATTTTATCTTCAGTGTACAAGACTTCTGAACATGAAACAGCTCACATTTACAGCGAAATAAGCTGTCTTCATAATTTTTTTAACACAAGATGCACAATTTTACAATGTTATTGGGGGGTGTATCTTCATAACACTCGAAAGGCACTTCTACAGTTTCATTCAGAGATGCTTCTTTGGCAAAAATAGCAACATCTTTATATTCAGAACATGCAGTTAGAGCTGTTAAGGCATTTTCAAAATGTTGTTCATCCTCTACTGTGTCAAATACTTCTCTTGGAATAGAAGTTGTGGATAGTCCAACTCTAGGAGCACAGCCAAACATAGCCTCATAAGGCATTCTCTTCATACCAGAATGAAGTACTGTGCTTTTCATGGACTGAATAAATGTAAGGCCATGACTCCATGAAGTAGATTATTGGTTTTCTTGCATCCAAGTTGTTAATATATTTTCGATGTTCCGAATTAGCCCTTTCGAAGCTACCTTGACTCTGACTATATCTGGGTTTGCCCTATAGGATTCTAAGTTCCAACCAAGTTCTTTTCAAGTCGTCTATAAGTTTATTGCAGAACTCCTTTCCATTGTCAGGTTGCAGTACACATGGGGCAACAAATAATAAAAATATACCGAGCAAATGCATTGTAACCTCTTCTGCTCTTTTTTGTTTAGAGATGTCTTAAATTCACAGACTTTGTCAAATGATCCTGGTAAACTAAAATAAATTTATAGTATCCATCAGGTTGAAACTGAAGATCTGTGAGATTTACTTGAAATCTCAAATTCAGATGTAACAACATGGACTTAACCATAATGCCTTTCTTTCCCATATTTTGTTTTTGCTGACAAGGTTCACAAACAATCAAAAACAGCTTTATGTCATTCTGAGTAATGTTTTTATATTGACGATTCAGTTCTTTTATCATGCGATCTCTACCACCATGCCCAGCGGAGCATGTGTTTCATATAAAATATCAAAGAGCAGGTCACTTGAGCAATAAAAATATCACATCAGGTTTTGCATCTGTTACTGGCACAATTAACTTTTCTACTCTTTGAACTTCAAGGATATTATAATGCTGGAGTAACCAATAGTCACATAGTACTTTTTTTTGTGCTGTTTTAGCACTTTTTACTTCTGTTATCAAAGTTAAAATTTTTCACGAATAAGTGCAGCACTGTTTTTCTTTGTCCCATACTTATTTAATAAAGATTCAAATCTCTCTTGCATTAAATCTTTCTTATTTACAGGTTGGTCTCCCATTCCTGCAGTAGTCATTGCTTGAAAACAGATTGCAAAAATATTTGTTAATAATTCAAAATGTAAAACGCTAACATAAATTCAGCATCTAAATTATACATCTAAAAGCAATGGAATGGAGTGTACACACACACACGTTATTGCAAAGCAGCTATAAGCAGTTTAAAACTAACTAAAAGCAGCTAGAACTGGTTCAAAGAATTTTCAAGTGCTGTATTTTATACTTTAACGATCAAGTAATCGTTATTCTATAGAATACCTAGTTAAATTGCAGAATTAAATAATTTTATATACTTTAACTAACTTATCTAGTTATTTCATGAAATAACATATTTCATACTTTAACGGTAAAATATGTATTCCGATTCTGTTACCTGGCTCGGTGAGCTTAGTTTTTTATTCTTATGTGCATTTTTTTGCTTTAAAAGTTAATTAAACTTTAAAAGTTTTTTGCTTTAAAAATTATGTGGTTTTTCTGTTCTGGTTAAGGTCTTTATGCCTTTAGTTAATCTGCATGCAATAATTGTAGAATTATCAAGAATTTAAAAGTGGTGAATTAAGCCTAACGACCCGCCACTTGTTTACATTTGAAATACAGGAGCATAATGAATTAAGTCAGTTTCTGCACTTTTAATGTCTTTTTTCTGAATGGAACCAAAAGTAAACTCAGTTTTGGGCACTGAAAAATCTGCTTTCTTGCGCGCTGACCAAATTGCATGTTTTTATATAGAAGCTCTTAATTTTAATTCTAAAAATTTGTTTTTTAATTGTTTGAACTGTATTTGGTGTTTTATGTATTTTACAATTTTTTTGATGCAGATGTTTTAAGTTTTTATGTACTTTTGCTTTGAGAACTGAATTAATTGAATGAGAAATACATCTCTAATGAAATTCAAAGAAATAAATTTAAGTGAATGCAGAAAAAAAAAAAAAAAAATGTGTGTAATAGGCCGTACAAGGAAATCATGTGGTGACCACATCAGATTTTTTCATCTTTGTTTCGCTCATCTTTCTTTCCTCTTTTTTACATTAATTGAATTATTTCTGGAGAAGAGTTCTGTATCTAATTGCTCTCAGAATCAATCAAGTTTTATCTAAAATCTGCACTGAATTAAGATTGCTTTTTTTTGGGGGGGGGGACTATTTCAGAGTCCACTATTATAAAATGTTTTAACAAAGCTTATTAAAACAAAATGAATATGTAATTGAATTAAAAAAAGCCAATGCATATATTTTGATAATTTTATTCACCTCGATCCAAACTACATTTATCTTTAAGGGGAGTGATGGTAATAATAATAATGAAATTTGATTTGCAAATAGTGCACTAATTAAATTTTCCTATATAAACTATATTACATTATTGAATTATTCAAGTGTGATAAATGTGAAAAGCTTTTGTTATTATGTACTTAATACTACTAGTGTTAGGTTATCATAATTCTCTAGAAATAAATTAAAAGGTCACATATTAAACAAGTGCCATTCTTCTGGAGGGGATCCTTTTTAAACAAAATTGTTCAGGCTAAGCTACTCATTTCTTATGTTGTTATTTTAAGGGATTTAATAATTGATTACTTCCCTATGATTTTTTTATAATTAATTATCAACTACCTGAAATAATTTTAAGAGCATGAAAATCTATGCATCAATTTGTTAACAAGTTAAATTCTTAAATTTTAGTATTTGCTTTTACATGTAGTATTTTTCCCCTTGAAAGCTGTCTTTTGAGAGCTAAATTATTTTTCATTTCAGATCTGTTACCAGAAGTTATTATCGAGGGGCTGCGGGTGCCTTACTTGTGTATGACATAACAAGGTATGATCTTAAAACTCCATAAAGTGTTCTATATCTATTATTCTTCTGCATTTCTACTTTGTAGTGTAAAGATAATTAGAATTTATTACCTACATTATTTAAGTATAAATGAGATTTTATTAATATTCTTGTATTCTTGGTTCATTTTATTCTTGGCTTCTGCCATAGCTATTTTACTAATGCACTGCGAACTGCCAGTTCTGCATACTTATTAAAATTTTCTCCCTGCATATTTATTAAAATTTTCTCTTGCAAAAGCAGATGCCTGTTATTTTGTGAATTTTATGTTTGTAGGAATTTGGTATACGTTTCAGTTGAAGTAAACGTGTATGGAAATAATTTAAATAATTGACACTAAGTATTTGTAACCATTTGTAATGTTTGCGGTATGAATTCGTTGGTGACGTTTATAATATGATAGATAGTTAAACTAAAATAAATAAATTACCAAAACTAAGTTTAGAGGTAAAAGCTTTTGGTAATTTTATTTATTTTATACATGGAAATGTTCATCCATGAAAAGGGTATATACTTTTTCGCGATCAGGTAATTTCATATATGTGCTTTTTACCGAGTTTAAAGATTCTCAGAATTTTTTGCATTTTCGTGCAAATTTTTGTAATTTATGAGAAAATAGCAGTGTAGATGGATAAAGTTAAGAGTGTGTGCAATGCCATTTTTGTGCAATTCTGGGATGTTTTTTTAAGTAAAAATAAGTCGACGTGTAAATGGTTTATGTGTATGTGCTATTCTGAAAAACACGCAAGGAGTTTGCGATTCTGCACTTTTTCCCAATTTTGCAGTTAATATTTGTCATGATTAAGCAGTTTTGTTACATAAAATTTCTAGCATCAGTGTAATTCGGCTAGTAGATTGTTGGAAAAAGTGTTGAGTAAATAAAAAGAAAAGAAACATGTCTTTACTTCGTGAAGACAAAATGGCGGCGAAAAAAAAATAGAGGGTTGCTGTAGCAGAGTTGGTCGCCAAATTTTCGCAAAAAAATCGACAAGTTACCATAATCCAAAGATCAACCCTGAAATTTTTCATGTTTATAAATTATACTAGATGTTAACATTATGTGAAGTGTCACTGCATATGCATCGATATACATAATTGCAGCATATAAATCTATTGCATCTGTTGGCATGTATACATCCAGAATGTTCCAAAAAAGCATCCCTCCTATATTTTCTAGCATAAACACAGCATTTTGTTTCTCATTATAGTTATTGCTATGCAGATATTACATTAGGTATTCAGCTGTTACTTTTTCAAAAAAGTTAACTGTCATTTATTTGAAGCAGCTTGTTTTGTACATAGGCAGTCATTTTGTATGATTCCCAAAATTGATAAATAAGATTAATGTCGGGATTACAGTGGGCATTCAGATGTGTTAAACTCATCATTTCTTTTTCGAAAAGGAAGAGGGTGACCATGAATGAATGTTAGTTGCAATCAGCAGTATTTAGATAAGTAACAGCCTTTAAAATTATTCTCTTGGTGTTCATTAATAAAAACAGAATAATTAAAAAATAACAGAATAAAATTAACCTCTATAATAATTTTGCCTAATTTCTGCCTGGAAAATATATCTTTCATTCTGGTAGCAATCTACAATACGGCACAAAGTCCAAAATCTGGGAATCCAATATCCAGACCCTCTGGGCTAACAGAATTTATATATATATATAAAATTCTTATTCTTTTCAAAATCTAGGAGTGGAGAATATGATACTCAGGATAAAGCTAGTATGCCATTAAAATGATTTTTCCCCCAAATGATATTCCTGCTTGTCACTTTCAGACATCTGCTGGCTAGAAAATCACGCTTGACAAATAACAGTACATTCATTCACATCAGCTATGACCACATTTTTTGCCCTTGAGTTGTTGTAGGATATTAACATTCTTCTATCTGACCTAAACAATCAAATCTGTAAGACGTATTGATTTTGTATAATTTTGTTGGCATATCAGCGAAAAAGGAATCAAAAATTAGATTCTGAGGAAAAGTTCAATTAACATAGCAAATTGCACTCTACCTTAACATTCTGATTTGATCCAGCTTATTAATTTTTCCCTGACATGATATTACTGGTAAGCATTTTTTAATCTGAAAAACTACATGGCCCTCAGGCATTTAAAGGGGTCATCTATCATTAAAAGAAAGAGGAGGGGGAAAGAGAGAGAAAAGGAAAAATGAAAACAAACAAACAAATAAATAAATAAGAGCATGGGAGACACAAAAATTAATGAATGATTGATTTGAAAATCATTTCATACCCAATGTTCAGCATAATTTGAAGTAGTTTGATTTACCAGGTGATGCAAATTTGTACTGATCATAGTTTGGCTCGTACTGTAAGTTTTTGTAAAAGGTAATGTCTCTGTCTTATTCTTTCCTCTAAATTGTACATCCATCATTCAGCCTGTGGATACCAAGACACATGCTAAAATGCAGGTATATAAAGTAGTCTTTTTTAAATCTATGCTAAATTTTCTAGACCATTCAGGAATTTTAACATAAAAATCTGGTATTTGGAACATTGCAAGCTTATGGGAGGACATGTCTGCAGATATTTAAAAAATGCTTGGCATAATTCATGGCGAGTTACCGTATTTCATAGTGATGATGATGATGATGATAGTCTTGAAGGTTTTCAGATATCACAAGCAAAACATGAAATTTTCCAGTTAATGGAATTTGTGAAAATGTGACAGGGAAAATGATGTACTTGTATTATAATTTTTCCATTGCAGTGCCGATCCACTTTCAATCAGCTAAGATGGTGAAATATGTAGAATGATTTTAAATCCAGCTGCTGTCTATAGTGAAGAAAGTGAGAAAAAGTTTGTTGAGAATGAAAAGATGTGGACTGATAGTTTACTGGAAATTCTTGACATAGCTATTATAGGACTTGAAAAATAGAACTTTGTAATTGAACAGGAAATTATATCTGTTTAAAAAATTAAAGAGAAAGTTTTAGCACAAAAAACAAAATAACTTGCATTAAAAAAATGTAATAAAATTCCTAAAACAAACAAATTAATGTTGAGCTTTTTTTGCAAATTTTGATTCTATTCAGACTGCATGTGCTTCATTATTTTATGCACAGTTATTTCATGTTTTAAATATAATTTATAAGTGTTATCTTACTAGTTTTAAATTAAGATCTAAAATCCGGAATTGCTGAATATTGAAAATTTTAGATCTCAGATTTTAGATTACACTATATTGATATTTCACAAGGATGGAATCTGCTTATATGATATCTTTTTTGATGCTTTCATGTTGTGCCCACCAATCTTAGTTTCCCAAATTGTTTAACTATTCAAAATATAATGGGAAAATTTTGGATGTCATTAAAGGCTTATGCAATAACTACTTCAACAATGAACTACCTCTCTTTTGTCCTTTGACTCTGATGATTTAATATGAATTGAGATTTTTAATATTTTTTGTCTTTTTTCAAGAGCAACCCCCCCAAAAAATTATCTTCTTTTTGTGGTAAAAAAGTATTGTGGCTTTTTTTACTCTTAAAGGCTTTTAAAAAGCTTTTACAACTTTTTAATCCTTTAATTTTTCAAGTCAAAGAGCTATTAACAAATGTAATTAATATGTTTTTCTTCTTGTGAGATGAAGATTTTGATATTTTATTAAAATTTTATAGTTTTTCACCTTTGGATGCTTCCATAGAGTTTTAATTCATTAACTTGTGTATAGGTGAGCCTTTTGTAACTGACACTTATATGTTTAAAGTATGTTAGTAACTGTTAATAAAAACTGATTGTTACTGACTGGAAAAAAATTTTTTTCCTACTTTTTGTGGTACAAAATTATTGTAGTTTTTTTTACTTTTAAATGCTTTTACAGCTTTTTAATCCTTTAATTTCTAAAATCAAAGAGTTATTAACAAATGTAATTAATATGTTTTTCTTCTTTTAAGATGAAGATTTTAATAATTTATTAAAATTTTATAGTTTTTCACCTTTGAATGCTTCCATAGTGTTTTAATCCATTAACTTGTATATAAAAGTTAGCCTTATGTAACTGACACTTAGATGCTTAAAGTATGTGAGTAACTGTTAATAAAAACTGATTGTTTGTACTTTATATATTACAGTTTCTAATTCTATAGTTATAATTTTTTTTTTTTTTTTTTTTTTTTGAACTTTAGCCGTGAGTCATACAATTCCCTCTCTAATTGGCTGGTTGATGCTCGTACCCTCGCAAGTCCTAACATTGCTGTTCTGCTTGTTGGAAACAAAAAAGATTTAGAAGAAGATAGAGAAGTTACATTTTTGGAAGCTAGTAGATTTGCTCAGGAAAATGGTAAGTCTAATTTTGATAAATAGCATCAATGGGAGTTTCATCAAGCATAAAAATAGTGCTCATGCACCATAAGAAAGTGAGAAAAATAAATTTTGGGCTAATTTCAACATGTAGAGAGCCTTCAGAAATTTTAAAATAAATTGTCAGATTTGATTTTTTTTATGTTAATACTTAATTAAATATCCAGTGCTTGGAGATACTAAAATAAAGATGATCTCCAGTTACAAGGTTATTCACTTGTATTGTGACCAAATATAGGAAGAATGAAAATAGAACTTTAACTACCTTCTTGAATGCAAGCTCAATTTATTCTCTGTGTTAAATATTCAAAGCAGCTTTTTATAAAATGTACTGTATTTATGCATGTGTTTAGTTTGTAAAACAAAGCACTTGGAAAAAGTTCCAATTGTAGAATTCCATTGAGGAACAAGAAGAAAAATGTGGTTATACAGAAATATGGCAGCACTGCAAATTTCAAACAAAGAGATGAAAGTGATGGTTAATGTTTTTATATTAAGTTCCTATTTAGTGCATATTAAGCATGGATTGAGTGAGAGTGAATTACACAGTGATTTAGCCATGAAATTCAGGAAGAGTGAAAAATTAAGAGACTCTCTAATAAGTGAGAGGGAAGTTTCAAATAAAGAGCAGAAGTGATGCATATCAGTTTGACAACATTAATTGTTATTTTTACTGTGCTAAGCTATGTAAAGGTAGAAAATGATAATAAATTGCCTAATAATTTTAAATTGTTTTAGAATTATTCATTACATTTCAAGTATAGGCGATTCCTAATATTGGTTAAAATGTTGTGTAAAAAAGTACAGTCTGTAACAAATATGGTGTATGAATCTAAGTTGTTTGTTTATAATAATTTATAATTAGATGTGATCTACAGGAGATGTTTTGGTTATTAATATCCTTACATTACAAACATCATAAAAGTGGAATCAATGAATCACAGATAACAAACTTGTTTTTTAGTTATTTTATTTATGTAATGTTTTTATATTTTTCTGTGCCGATGTGGCACATTAATAAAATATTCACAAAAGAAATTCAGGACGACATGCAAAAAATTCTTAAATGCTTTCAACTATGTACAATGCTATTCAATGTAGAAGCTTTCAATTAATAGGAAATATCAGGTGAATCCTATCTATCAATTAAACCTGAATATAAGAATATCTTTTGAACAGTTTTGGTATTTTAAATCAATCTATCAAGAATGCGTGAGCTTAAATTAATCACTTTGAATCTTTTAGAATCAGAATTGATTTTTTGTACATGTGAAAACAATTTACTTTGTATTTCAATGAATGGTTCTCAGTTTAAAATATTTGAAGCTGTTTAAAATTTGATTTCAAATAATATAATTTCAGAGAGAGAATGGGGTCCAGATATAGTCGTAATTCTGGATTTTTTAATTTCTCAGATTCATAATTTCTGATTTAGGAAATGTAGATTCATAATGTTCTCAAATTTAGTTTTAGAACAAAAATAATCATTCAGATATTGTAAAAATTTAAGTTTTTAGATTATTGAAAGACTGTTTAAAGAATAAATAAAGCTCAGTGAGAGGTCAGACTTCTTATATGAGCAAACTGAGTTTGCTAAGAAATTTGTTTGATATAGAAAAGCTATTTTTGTTTGTATTATACAGAAAATGGAAAGAAAAAAAAAATATGTATTCAAACAAGAAGAAAATTGAAAACAAAAATATTCAGTATAAGGAAAACTAATTAAATTAATTTTAACTTGCTTTTATGGACCTGTTGCTAAAAATTCATTTAATTATATAAGTAATGGAATGCAGAACATTTCTTGAACAGTGATAGCCTTGATGTTACACAGACTGTGAAATATTATTTGTTCTCATAACTCAAAAAGCATATGTAACTTTTGGGTCACAAAGTCTCTCTGAGGACTGTTGGTTAAATTGTTAGGAATAATTTATTGAATAACTGAACAGTGTACAAAGTTCTCTACATTCCATGAATCATTCTATTCTTTTTTAAAGTTTCTCAGCTCCAATACCTATTACTATGCATATTTAGGCTTACCAGACATCCTGCTTTGAGTGGGACTATCTTGGTTTGACAATGGTCCCTTAGCACTGACCAGTTTGTCATTTTATCCCGGTTATTTGATAAAAGTTTAAAAGTGCAGAATATATCAGAAGTAAAAATAGTGCAGCCTCTGGTAAAAGAGTGATTTAGGAATTAAAATGTTCCCTCTGTTGCACTCACTGTTGCAGATCTAAATATTTTATATCTAAATACATTATCTACACTGATGTTTGTGAATTTGCGACACACTGAAGGAATTGGGCATTACTTTGGAATTACAAAGTTATTGCACATGCGTGGATTGTGAACCAGCCGTTTGTTCCATGTATGTAAAGGACTGCAAAGTTGCATTGAAATCTGTTTATAGTCCTCTGTCTATGATGAATGTTTAATTAGTGGTCAGTATGCCTTGTCAACAGCAGAGGGGGCCATACCAACAACTAACAGAGTTCGAACTAGGCTGCATCACTGGCATACAAGAGGGTGGACTTCTGTATTGAACAATCGCAGCCCAAATGGAGCATAATGACACAACAGTGATGTGTGTTTGGAAAAAATGGACAGAGGAGAACCAAATAAGGTAAAATTTTGACAGTAGATTACACAATAGTGTAACGGCATGAGATGACGGACATCTCATCCGCATGGCTGTGACATCATACAGAGTCTGTAGCACAATGTTGGAACATGGCGACAGGTGTTGTGTTGTTTAGCTGCACAGTTTGCCACCATCTGCTGCAGAATAAACTGTATGCAAAAGTTCCTCTTTGCATGATTCCCCTGTCACTGAATCACAGATGCTTCCAATGGGCATGGCTATACAGTGCATAGCATGCCCTGTGGCAACAAGTTGTTGTCTGATGATTCTCGCTACAATCTGGAGTACAGCGATGGAAGAGTACATGTCAGACATTACAGAAGAAAATGTCTGCTCCTACAATATGCTATCCACCATCATACCGCACAAACGCCTGGCATCATGGTGTGGGGAGCTATTGAATAAAATTTTCGATCTCATCTAGTGCAGATTGTGGGCAACCTCAGCAGTGATTGCTGCATAAAGGAAGTTGTGAAGCCAGAAGTCACATGACCTTCACATGTTTCTTTGACTACACAAGCTTTAGGGCATAACAGGTTTCGCTTCTTCTATGGCCTGTTTATTGCCCGGATATGTTGCCCATTGAGCACGTCTGAAATTTCATTGGTTGGCAACTTGATTGTAGAGCTAGTGGAGCACACACAAAGACTGAACTTTGGCATCAAGCCATATTAAATGCCATTCCCCAAGATTACATGCCACAATGTATACAGGTTCTCATCGCTCAGCATGGTGGACACACAAAGTATTAATTTCCAATGTTCGTTTTGTTTTTTTGCCATGTAAATTTGATTGTTTATTTATTACACTATCAGTAATAAATGGAATAAATTTCATTCATTTCTGACAATTCCGTCATTATGTTGCATTTTTCACAAACATTAATATAGATCTAAAGACATTTAATGTTGTCTAGACATTTTCCTCAAAATGATGACAGATGTGTTTCTTTTGTTGAGTTATGAGACAACAGTTTTGGTAGAGGAGAATCTTTTATTTATAAATAAACAACAGTGTATTAACATGGTCTGAAATTGAAGCTTTAGGTGAAAAAAATTAATGAAACTATTGAAAATAATATAATAAACATGTATCAGCCTTCTCATTAAATAGTGATCGCAAAAGCTTTTGTGGTCAATTAATTATAAAATTTGGAAAAATTAAGTTATGAAAATTGGGTACAACTTTTCAATCATTAAAAATTGGGGGGGGGGGTATCCAACCTTGTTGCTCAAATAATAGAATACATTTTCATCATGCCAGGAACATGTCACATGGTCTGAAGAAAGATGCAGAACAGCTATATCAACCATAAAAGCATTACCGAGCTGCACAATTAGTAATAAACTAAATGTCAGTGATTGTTATATTGCTTTGCTTTCCTGGAAAGCAATCTAAAGTTAGCAATTATTTTTAGAGACCAGAATGGTAATGTGTGAAATATTGTAGTGAAACATAAATTAACTTTTAACCGGGGAGTGAATGCACTCAACCGGCTCGTGTTTTTTGAAGAAAAAAACTGTTACTCTTCAGGTAAAAGTGTTGCATTTATGCCAAAATTTTATGATCAAACTTAAAAAATATGCAGAATATTGAAATTAACATTTTAATTTAAATTTATATAATATATTTTATGAAATAAAATTTTTTAAAGGAATAGAAAAACATATTATATTAATATAGAATTTATTAATTAGAATTATTAACCTGAATAATAATATAATGAATTCTATATTATTATATTAATATAGAATTCATTGTATTATTATTCAGGTTATTCACAAATTATTATTCAGGTTTATTAGGAATATACTGCCTGAAAGAACATCTTCATCAGAAAGCTTTAAGTTTTTCATCAATTATGAACTCACCAACAGTGTAATATTTGTATCAGTTATTCACAAAATTTTCAAAAAAACTCTTATAGGTGCAAGTTTATCTGATTCTTTCTTGATGGAACGAGTTCCTATGTCATCAAATTGCAAACATCTTAATAAAAAAAGAAAACACTTGTAGGACATAGTTTTGTGGAAAATTTCCAAGCCGGTTCCATCTGTTGCCCACAGATCCCACACATTTATATGAGATGACATAATGCCACAAAAATATAAAAGACCTATAAAAGTGCAAATTTCAATTACAGTTGTGTGATGAGCATCTCTTCTCACTTTGAAAGCTGTCAGAAATAGATGCAAAATAAATATTAGTATAACTGACGACTTTCAGCAATATTTGTTCACTTAGTAAGAGCTCCCACGATTCATTAGGAGCCTGCCCATATTTTGCCTTACCAGTGTTTCCAGGCAATTTAGTACAGTACAAAGTCCGTAATCTGAACTTGTCAGGACTTCGGTGATTCCGGATTAGGGGTTTTTCCGGATTATAGATCATCAATTCTAATCTGGTAAGATGGCATGCCGAAATTATACAATTAAAAATATGAAACTGTAATTTATGAAATAAAGAGCAATTATGATGTAAAGGATATCAAAAATTATAAAAAAAAAGCTTAATATTTATTTTGTTTACTTTATTTAACATTTTGTTCAATGTAAGTTGTTTAAGTTGCTTTGTTTTTTTGGCTAATACTTTCTCTTTATAAACAGACATAATTTCTTGTTCAGTTACAAAGTTCCAATGTTCAAGTCCTGTAATTGCTGTATCAGGAATACCGACTAACTAGTGAACATCGAAACATGCTTTCGCGTTGTAGTTACTTTGGCAGCTCTAGAATTGGAAACTCTTTTTGAGACATACTTGAAAATTCAAGCTTAATTTTTATGGAATTGCTCTAACAGTCTGCAAAAAATAATAAGCTGGATCCAATTAGAAGATTAAGGAACAGCACAATTTGCAACATTAACTGAAATACCTTAGAATCAGTAAAGATAATTTTAGCCTAGCTTAAACCATCCGTTATACATTAAATGCACATGCATAAATGCATTACGTGCATGCGTAAAATATACAAAAAAAAAAAAAAAAAGTTTGTGGCTTTGAGATCTGGATTATAGATCATTCTGGATAATTGATCCAGATTACGGACTTTGTACCGTAATAATATTACGAGTAGGAGCTCTAACGAGTAGGAGCTTTAGGCTTTTTTCTTGACCATTGGTTGCCTTTTCCAATAAAGCAATAAATGTCATTCTCATTTCCGTTTTCAGAATGCATCTCGATTTCTGAATCAGTATCATGAGAACTAAAAAATTCATTATAACTTTCATCTTCAGTTTCAACATTTGATACATCTTCTAATAATTTTGCAAACGTAAGCTTTCTTCCTTAAAGGATAAATTACGTAACATGTTTACAGCTTTCTGTGCTACCACAAACAAACTATGTTACAGCAATGCGAATAGATGCGCTGGGTCTGAAAGGCCCGAATAGATCAAAACAAACTTTCAATCAAATTTGCGGCGAAGAACTTCAGAAACGTAAAGAGGATGGCTTTGGAGGAGACTGCACTGAACCACAACCATTTGGGAAAAATAGGGGTGTCTTCAGAAATGTATTTTTAATCGGGCGGGCATACTCGATCAATTAAAAATGTTAATCAATTAAAAAAAGTATGCTTGTTGTTTAGTTTGTGAAATTGTTTGAAACTATATGTGTAGGCATATATGTGTGTGTTTCACATTAATATTAAGAATTATTTGAAATTATGTTGGATATGAAATTATGTTGAAATAATGTTTACTGTATGGTAGTTTTTCAGGATTTTTGAAATGGGATCACAATCATCCTTGCAATTTGAAAAAGTGAAAAAAAAAAAAAAAATGAAATAATTTTAATGACAGTTTGCATTTTAAATAAAAGTGAATCTTTTTTAACGCTAATGTTAATGTTATGTTAAAAGTGTAATGTATATGAATGCTACAAATAGAAATATCACTTTTGATTAGTTTATTTGATTATGGTAAAGACTTGAGGGCTATATGTCTAAGAGGAGGATTTTCTAAGGGAAACTGACTCACATAATTGTTACACATGGGCAAAATCAGAAAAATGGCCATACAACCAGGCCATTTGCCAAGATTTAAATCTTGGACCAAACTACCAATGTTCAGTGACTTTAGTGCTCAACTGCTGGTGGGCATATCACTTTTGAAGTTCATATTATATTAATGAATTTAGATAAAATTTTGACTAGTGCCATTAGAAACTCCTCCACAAAAGATTTCCTCCTCTTAGGCAGATAACCCTTGTGGTTTTGCCATATTCAAATAACATAACCTTTTCTTATTAAATATTATTTGATCAGAATTGTCTGTATCAATCTAGCCATTTGTAGAATTTTTTATGATGATTTAACTGATATCAGATCAGTTATGTTAAATTATATAAATTTAATATTTGTGGTAAATTTTGTTGTCATGTACTAATTTGCTTCCACAGAATAATATGTATATTAACTGTAAATTTCATTTTCAGTGTACTTAATTTTCCTTTCATTCTTAAGACTCTTTCATTATAAAAGTGTAAGAAAACTACAAAGTGAAATTAGCCAAACAACATAAAATTTAGAATATTTAATTAAATACAAATATATTTGGGATCAAAATCATCTTATAAGTAGTTCAGTAATCTGAATCTTGCATTATAAAGTGAGTTTAGGTTATCTGATTATTATAAAGTGAGTTTATTTGTAAGGGCATCACTGTGCAGCAGGAGAACCTTCCAGAGAATGGGTTTTTTATATTTGAAGGTTGGCAGCTGTGCATTTTACACAACATGAACAAAATGTTTTAAAGAATGTATGTTAAGTGAAAATAAATCTCATAACCAGATAAAAGCAGACTAGCTATTTGGAAGATTTAAGTGGATTTTATGGGAAGATATTTTTCACGTCCTTTTCGTAATGTCTGTCCTTGCATTTTATTCCTTTTCAAAAAGTTTTATGTTCATAAAGAATTTCCTTTCAAGAAATATAAAAAATGTATATATCAGCATTTTAATAAGAACTGGTCTCTTGAAATGCTGTGTGTCTTGCATTTTTTACTAAGACCAGATGAAGAATTTTGCTAATTGTATAATAATAATATTTCATTTAGATTAGTAAATCTGTATGGACACTAAGTTAAAGCTGATGCTTGAATCTTTTACTCAAATATATTTCAATGAATTTGCTGTCAAAAATTGTTTTTCTTTTCTCATATATTTTTGTTGATTTCAGAGCTAATGTTTCTGGAGACGAGTGCTCTTACTGGTGAAAATGTTGAAGAAGCATTTTTAAAATGTTCTAAAACAATTCTTGCAAAGATAGAAGCTGGTAAGATATTTGCAGAAATATTTTTATCACTAAACTAAGAGCTGAAATGTAAAATTTATTACTTCACTAAAACTTTTCAAGTCCCAGATTCTTATTATTTGCCTGTTAAATTTCACATGTTTGGAAATGCCAATATGAATTTTCATGACTGAGATTTTGGCCTTTTCATTTATGCTGATTATGTATGTTAGTATTATGTTCGTCACCTATAAGTTTATATGATTTGACTTTATTTTTCCCCATCTGAATTTTTATTTTAGCCATATTTTTCTGTATCATGTTTTTCCTTCATTTCTTATGCTTTGTATTGAAATATGTGCTAATTCATAGAATTGACCGGCAGGAACAGTTAACTGTTTAACTGTAATTAAATCTGTTAGCAGAGATTAAGGTTACTGTTTAAATTCATTCTGTTTATTCCACCAAAATCAACTTTTAATTCACTGTAATGAACTGGGTTACTGTATAAATTGATCCCTTTATTCCACCAAAATTACTTTTTAATTAAATGTAATTAAATCTCTTAGCTAAGATTTGGGTTACTGTTTAAATTCATTCTGTTTATTCCACCAAAATCAACTTTTAATTCACTGTAATGAACTGGGTTACTGTATAAATTGATCCCTTTATTCCACCAAAATTACTTTTTAATTAAATGTAATTAAATCTCTTAGCTAAGATTTGGGTTACTGTTTAAATTCATACTCTATATTCCTTAAAAATCAATCCTTTTTGCCAAATGGATTCTTTTGTTATATGCATAGATGTAGGAGTAGCTTCTTTTCTTCTGCATATTGCCAAATTGCTGACTTTAACATTAATTTATTTTAAAAAAAACTGATTTGGTGATTTTTTTAAGCAAATGTAGTATTGGTATTATTATAAGTAAAGCCATTGAAATCATAGCAATATATTAAAATTGCATTTTTTAGGAAAATGGCATTAAAATAAAATTATTTCCATTTGCCACGTTTTAAAACATTTTAACCTTTTATTTTGGCAATTTTCAGATATCTTGAATATCTGAAAATTGAATCTGGATTTGAAACAAGATTGAATTGGAATAAATTAGAATTTTATGTATTACTTTTTAGCAAAAGGAAAAGAGCTATTTGAATTATTTTAAAATTGATTTAATTTGTCTAATTTTTATGATGAATGTTTTTCTTGTAATTTTTCAAAAATATTTCGATTTTTTTTTTTTAAACCTATGCGTGCTAGAACCTGCATTTATATACAGAAATGAAAAATATGCCAGGGTTTGAAACATATAAATATTGATTAAATCTCTTGTTTAGTGGTAATATCACATGTTTCAAAATAAAGCCATATCTAATTTATCATTTAAAAATGTTATGAAACATGCATTGTTAGTATATTTTTCTGCTATGGCAAAGCATGGATGACACTACCTCAGAAAATTGGTTTCTAAATTGTTTCATTCCATAAACATGGGAATATTGATGTTGGGTTTCTTTCTAAAATTTCCTCATAAGCTTCTTTCCTGAATTTTTTTTTTCAAAAGTCTTGATTTTTAGTCTCGCGTAATTGTCAGGTATCTTGATGGCAAAGACTTAAGGAAAAACCTATAGCAAATTGAGGAATGTTTTAATGCTATTATTACACAATAAATGAATTTTACAGGAAAAATTTGATGAATTTCTCATAGCATTTGGAGAATTTTTGGGAAAAGCTGTGAGAATGTTTATCTAAATTTTCTATGATATTTCCTTATCATTATGGTACTTGTTATTTTAATGATACCTAGAGCTCTCTCGTTAATAAACTGTGATAAAACAGCAATCATACTCAAAGCTCATCTTGTGACACTGAGACTATAAGTGACTGTGATAAGACTGCTAGCTGTTTGGTGATGTTACCAAGAGATCTGAGTAGGGTTGCTGTTTTGGTGCAGTTCATTAATGAAAGGGCTGTTGATGGCATTTAAATAATGGGGTCTATAATAATAAGGTAATACTTAAAAAAAAAAAAAAATTGTGTCCTTTATATCTTTCTTTCATTTTTTTGTTCTTTTATTTTATGAATTTTTAGTACTAAAAATATGAGAAAGTGTAAAAAATGATTTTAATCTTATCACATTAATTATCATTTGTAGAAAGAAATTTTTGTTTTAGTAAATATATTGAAGTTCGGAAATTTAAGATTCATATTATATATCTGAAGTGCATTATCACATTTATGAAGTTTTGTCGGGTTATTCTCAATATTGAAAGTAGGAAAGTGGAGTAAAGAAGATTAACAACTTCTAGTAAGATTAGAACTATGAAGTAAGATCAGCAACTTCTGCATATTCTAAATGTGCTTTTTTTGAGGCTAACAAAAACTTGAAACTCATCATTACATTTATGAAACTTTGTAGGATTATTCAAAATATTGAAATTGTGAAAGAAATAAGATTAACAACTTCTGCATCTTCTAAGTGTGCATTTTTTTAGACTAACGAAAATTTATAATTAAACTGAAGATTCCAGAGATGAAGAATAAAATTTTTTATACGACTGTTATTGAGAAGATAGTAACAGTTTTAACATATGAAGCAGACTAGTAAGAACATTGATTTATTTTACCAAAGCAAACTACCTTAAAAAAACAGTTAAAAATACAGGGAAAGAGAAGTAAATGAGCTAAAATACATTAGTTAGGGAAGCAGATATAAATATGCTAAAATAGCCAGAACAAATTTAGATTAAAAAGAAAATTATATGTGTCACTTAAATTAGAAAATTTTCTTAGATTTTGATTTTAATAGTGCTTTTTTTAAGGAATATTTAAAAAAAAAATAAATGAATATTTTTATAGTGACCATGTAAATCTTTAAAATATGTGCGATTGTTATAAGTGTAAAATGCGAGTGTTTGAAGGAATTATAGCCCTAGTTTATTGTTAATTTTTAGATAACTTTTAGAGAAATAGTTTTTATTCTTAAATTTGTTGTACAATATTAAATATTAAAATGAGTATAATATTAGTGCAACCTAAATGCATTTAAAAAAAAAAAAAACTATTTATTTATTTTCTTTTATTAGAAAAACATTGCAAGACTGAAGTCTTTAGATAATAACTTTGATGTACATAGATTCTATTTGCTTATTGGTCTTTAATTTTATCATTCATAGACTTTATGAATGATAAAAGTCCTTAATTTTCATGTAGAGAAATGTGCACTAACTCTGCTATCAGAATTCCACTATTGTGTTATTTGTTGTCAGCTTAAATGGTATCTATTACTTGGCATTTTATAAATTATAAGGTAAAGGAAGAATACATGTAAATATTAAGAAGCAAAATTAGAAATTTGTCTCTTGCTCGCAAAGCTGTATTTTAAACCATTTATTTTGTAGGTGAACTGGATCCTGAAAGAATAGGTTCTGGGATACAGTATGGAGATGCATCTCTTCGTCGTCTTACTCGTCACCAACAGCGACAGCAAAGAGTTGCAGATTGTTCTTGTTGAAGCAGAATGAATACAATTTTCATGATTTTTTTAATAAGCAGAACTCTATACTACAAAATATATTTAAGCATATGTTATTTATAAAAAATATATTTTCTGTTCCCCCCCCCCCTCCAATTTTGTTAATTGGTAAAAGGAAAACATTTTTTTTTCCAAGAGACAGAAATTTATAAACATATTTGCCTTTTCCAGTTCAGATTTTTAAAGAGCTTTTTTCGTTTTTTTAAATTTAAATTTGTGTTACTCTGCTTCATTATTTTTTTCTTAGAACTGCAGATAAGTAACTAAAATGCAGTGGTGTTTAATGTTTGCTTTTTGAAATAAGTAATATTGTATTATGATATAAATTAACTGACAAAAATTATTGTAATTGAAATGCTTTATTCACTGTTAAGTATGTTAGTTGCTTTACCTAATGCTTGAATTAAAATCATGCTATGATCATCTTCAAGGAACTTAATGTTTGAAAAACTTGGTCCATTAAATATATCATATAATAATAATGAAACCAGCAATAAATGATGTTTCAAGATAGTTCATTAAATTTCAGTACAGTTCATTTCTTTATAGAGAGTTATTTGATTATATACAAAATAAAATTACTATTTTTGTGTAATTTATTGCATTTACTTTAATCAGTCATTCCTTTTAATTTAGAACTGTAAGCAAACCTCCAAGGTACAGCATTTATGCTATTTTTTTAAAAAAATTATTTGAGGAATTTCAAAAACATTCCCACATCTCTTTGTATTCTAAAAATCATGCTTTGTATATAAATATGCAGCTGCTTTTGTATGTTAGATGGGAGTGAGTTGTTTGATTGTGTTATTGCTTGAATTATATTTTATTTTTGTTCTATTTATTTAAAAATGGTGAGTTCAAAGTATGAATAATGTGACAAAAATTGATTTTCAGTTTTCCTTTTTCCTCCAAGTCTTTTGTGCCAGAAATGTTGAATAAATAGTAGTTTTTATATTTTGTTTTTCCATCATTTTAATAAAAATTTGAAGAGTAAACTTAAATTTATGAAGTCCTTAAATAATGAATTCAAAACGAAAAGTTTTGACATCATTATTGTATTTGTTAAGCTAGTTTGCTGATTCTTCTAAGTTGTTTATTACATTTATCAATATTAAATTTGTTAAAGTTAGTATTTATTAATATTTTCTCTAAAAATAGTGTAAAATGTATTTTGTATTTTCCCATAAAACCATGAACTTTGGTGTATTATTTTAAGCATAGTCAACATATTATTTTAAGTTTAAAATTCATTCAAAAACTTTTCCCTTTTTTTTAATCTGCTTTTAAAGATTTCTTTTGAGTAAGTAGGCTTGATCTAAATTAAAATCATTTTCAATGGTAATATTTGATTGTTTTTGTTTTATGTATTTTTGTATTTATTGCATTAACTAGCAAGCATTTTAATGTTCCTATTGTTTTTTTGGATTGTATTTTTCATGTATAAAATTAATTCTAAATTTTTTGTATTGTACTACATTACATCATTGATGTCAATAGACTGTATATTGAAGTTTCATTAAATGCATATGAATGTAATTTTCAATCTGAGATTTTACTGTTAAAATTTCTGCATGTGAAGTATGTTTTGGAGTCTACTTTGGAAAAAAAAAAGTCCTTTCTCCCCTTTCCTGTTTATGCCATTTAAGTTTTTAAATGTTAAAATGGTATTTGTTATATTAAATTTGAATATCTGAGTATTTCATTCTAGTTACTGATAATAAAACTGTGAGCATTTTATTTTTATTAAAAGTAATACACTTTATTGACGGCTGTCATTTCTGTTAATTAGCTGAGAATATAAATATCCAATGCTTTTAAAATAATTCAAAATTACAATAGATAACATTCAAAAATCAGCTTGAAAAATTATATGCAGTCCGTTATAGGAAAATAATATAAATAAATGTATATATTGTAAACAGGTAAGAAGCTGTAAAACTGTATGCTGGGGAAAACACTACATTTAATCTTAAAAAAAAATATTTCTGAAGTATTTGTCTCAGATTTTATAGCAAATCTTGTTACTCTGTAGTAATCTTGTAACTACTGTATCAATATTTTGGCTGAATACATTAGATTTATAATCTGTCCACAATTAATAAAATAATGAAGAAAATGAGTGTATTGTAACTATTTAATAATTCTTTGCTGTGTATTGTAATATATTATCATCATAGTGTAAAACTTGTATGAAATGGTATAAAACATTGTATGAAATGGCTAGTAGTAATAGTTATAGCAAAAAGTGCTTTTCACAAATTAATGATGAATTATGCTAGTATTATGTAACACTGGCTTGAAATTTTGTGGTTGTGGTCATATCTGCATTTACTTAAATTGAAGTCAAATGTTGTTGCTGTAATCCTGAATTTAAAAAAATGTATATATGTATTTTTAAATAAATTATTACATTTCTAAACTAATTTTGAATATGTTTTTTATGCAAAAATTTATCAATGCCTAGCACCCAAGAAAAAACATTTTTCATTTTGACATTTTAAGAATTCAGTAGTTATTACATGTTTTCTATGCAGATTTTTATTTTTCATTTTTATTTAATTATTTTTTTTTTCTTTGTCAATAAAATTTACAGTTTGATACATAAAGACCATTTTCCAGATACAAAATTTTGGGTTAGTATTCCATGCCATTATGGTTTAATATACATTCATGAAACAAGAAGAGCTTTGAACTTTTACACTGAAGAGCATAATTTTATTTCTGGAGGTGGGATGGATTCTTAAATCTTCCATTTTCTGTCATTGCTGGTCAAAAATCAGTCCATATCAGTGCAATCAAAATTATTCAGCAAACTAGTTCTATTACAGAAATAGATTTCCTGAAGGTATTTCACTTACATAAAAATTTTTTCATTGCTATTAAATGATCCAAATTCTAATCCCTTTTAATTGTCATATCTTCAAAAATTTATTTCCTAAAAATTCATTCATTAGATCAGGGGATGGCAGTCTTTTGGTCATCGAGGGCACAAAATAAAATTCTAAATTTTTAGCGGGCATTCCCAGGTTTCATAATCAAACGTTATATTACAAACTAGTTTTGTTTAAAAGATATAAATTTATTTAAATAACAAATATTTATAATTTATACTCTTTAAATAATTTTTTTATGTTACTCTGAAATTGGTGTTTGTAATTCATCTGCTATCTTATTATATTAATTGACAATATAATATGAGTTGCATGCCCTTAAACAATTATTGAAATGCAAATCACTAAGTTTTGAAAGATACTTCAAATAAATCATATTTGAAAACATCTCACAATTATAGTTACTTGAGCAATAAGAGTTATCCACATGACTTTAAAGTAAGATACTGATTTCTGTTTATCAAGTTCCAAACTATCTTATTAGTTTCAGAAACTTTTAAAATAACATCTGTTTTGCAAACTTACTGTGTCTAAGTGTTCCGTATTGTCAAGACGAAAAATACTTAAAAATTGATGTTTTCTCCATCTGTAATATTGGGTCATATAAAAAGTCTCTGCACTTTTTTGGCACATTTTTCAACAAAAATTTTCTTTTTGAAAATCAATTTTAATCAAGTACATATTGACCATTATTATCTATGACCTTTTGCAATTTTTCCAGTTCCTTCATAATTTCATCGGTATAGAACTTCTGTGGTTTATTGTCAGAAAACTTGGCCAAGTGATTTTCAGCGGTGCTTCAGTCGGCCAATTTTTTACCATCAAGAGAGTTTTGTAGAGACCGAAACAAATGGTAGTCAGATGGAGCAAAGTCCGGGCTATACAGTGGGTGCATCAAAATTTCCCAACAAAGCTCTGTCGATATGTTCCGAGTCATCAAAGATGTGTTTGGCCACATATTATCGTGATGAACACAACTCCCTTTCTATTGGTCAATTCTATTACGTAGGCCTCGCGATTTTTTTGTGACTTTTTGAGTCTGCTTTTGCTACTTTAGCTAAAAATTTTCTGGCAAAACTGGTAGTGCATCTTTTACATTGAAATTTCCGGAACGGAATCGAGCAAACCACTCCCGTGTACTTTGTTTACTCACAGCATTCTCACCGTACACTTTACAAATTTTCAGCATGTTTTTGCAGCGTTTTAACCTTTTTTTATAGTAAAAAAGCATCACATTTCGTATTTCTTCAGATATTTCACTCATATCTCAAATTCATATAACTTTTTACACGAGCAACAAATTAAAAAACTATTTTCACAAGCAATCGAAGCTGAATATCACCTTTTAAGCACATGTTCATTTGAGACAATCGGGTGAGTGTTGCTGGATATGTAGGCATTGAAACCATCTAGTGGCAAAATAGTGTGGAGACTTTTGATTTGACCCAATATTAAAGGGATTTGTGAAGAATTTTAAGATAGGCTCTAAACTCACAAAGTTAACAAAGCTAGAATCAAATTCAGTTTGCAATGCAGACACAGTTTGAAGATACGAGTCTGTATTAATATTATGCTTATTCAGACCTTCTGCCATTTTTTTAGTATCGGGGAATGCGTTATCGATTTTCTTAAGAGATGAAACTTATACAATTTTAACATGGACTTGGAAGCTATTGATAACACTGATCATATCAGCAACGTGATTATTCCTGCACTGTAATTTCAAATTTAGCTCATTAAGTTTCAATGTTAAATCGGCCAAAAAAGTAAAATTTGTTAACCAGTTTTCGTCTTTCAGCTGTTCGTAGTTTTTTTCCTTGGGATGTTAGAAATTCTTTTACTTTTGATAAATCCGTCAAGCATGTTTCACGAACGAACAAGCCAACGAACCTCAGTGGGCAAAAGAAGATCGCTAAATTGTGTACCTTCGTCATTGTCTAAACGCAGTTTAAGTAATCAATGTTGCACTCCACTTGTCTTCATTTGAATTGATTACTTTTGTAATAACAGCGATTACATCTTGGAATTCAATTAGTTTTACACACAGGGATTGCTGGTGTATAATGCAGAGATATGAAATAAATTTTGGAAGAAAAGGATCTTGTTGGCATAAAGCAATGAATCCAACAGTGTTTCCTCTTGCATGTCAGTTGCAATCAGTTTTTAACGAGCATAGCAAGTCATGTTTCATAAATAAATTTCTGCTATATGCCTCTGTAGATTGTTAAATCCGATTTTAAGGCCAAACAATGAACTTTTTTGCCAAGGTTTCTAATGGCCTGCGATTGTTTCAGTCTCCTCATAATAGTTCTAAGCATATGTAACAAGCTAAATTATGCTTTTAACTGCTTTTTTGGAAAAATGCTTATAATTGGGAACAGAAAGTACTGAAAATTATAAATCTAGAAGGAAAGAAGTAGAGGAAGAAGTAGGCCCGGTGGCGCAGTGGCTCGCGCATTGCGCTGCAGCACCATAGATCCGACCCCAGGCTGGGCAAGGTCGACTCAGCCTTTCATCCCTTGATTTCTGTTCTTTGGGTCAATAAAATGAGTACCAAGTTCGCTTGGGGACTAAACACTGGGGGTCCTGTGACAAGCTGACCACTTGTTCAGGGCATATGCTTGCGCACCTCAGGGCCCACAGTCAAGAAAGCAGATTTCGGGGCACTGCAGGCATTGGCCCACTAGGGCTGTTACGCCACTGAAATTAGTTAAGTTTAGAGGAAGAAGTAAAGAGAATTTTATTCATTTATCATGCATATGAGGGAATGTATTTGTCTTTTTTTCTATTTGTTGCATTTCATTAACATAATTCTTTTTTTTAAATAATTTTCTGCCTTTGTTTTAAAAGACATCAATACTTTTTTAATTATTTTTGGGGTATGATTTTACTTTAAGCATTTTTTGATGTAAAAATGAAGTTGTATTAATAATTTCTCAGAGTGTCAGAAATTTCATAATTTTGAGTGAAAATTATAGTTTCTTCTTTGCTTTAAGGAACTGATTTCTTATTTTTAATCTTAAAGCATTAGTAAAGGATTTTGTTTCCAACAGAGGTGTAGCTAAAACTTCAGTTTCCCAAGAAAGGTTCCTGAATTTGCCGCCTCTCTTGATATACAAACAAATAACTAAAAAACATGCCAAAATGACATGCAGGGAAATAAATTAAAACTGAACATTTATTTCTGAAGAAAAAATTTAATTGCAACATTTAAAATTATTATTTCACTTGTTTTCATTGGGAAAAAAAAAAAAAAAAAAAAACCCACCTTACACAAATGACATTATAGAGGTAGGATTGCACCAGTTGTTGTTAGGTAAAAGTACAGAAAAATTTCCTTCTGTGCAAAATAAACATTTATAGTTCTTAAATGTTTCTTTAATGATTTTATTTAGAAAAAACTCTTCCTTGTGGAGGGGTGGTACCAGTCAGAGTATATTAATTTATTATATGCTATTGCAAGTAATACATTTTAAGAAAACAACAAATCTTGGATTCACTTGTTTTGCTTAAAGGATCTAATTAAAAAATAATGACCTAATTTTTATATTGTGTTATATTTTTCAGTTACAGCAGACTCCAACCATACTATAGTAGAATTTGGATCAAAAGTAGTAAATATTTTGGTGTATCAAAAGTAGTAAATATTTTTTATTTTAATATCAAAAGTAGTAAATATTTTTTATATTGGTGGAAAGTCAGTGAAACTACAAATCTGGGACACAGCTGGTCAAGAAAGATTCAGGTACAGTATCTAAAATATTTTAAATGTTCTAAGTTATTTAGGGAATATAATAAACTGCAGAATTATGTACCATTCATTACATGACAATAGTGCCGTATCCTCCAATAAGCATATATGGGCTTGAATCGTCCACTAAAATATGTATAGAAATTATATGTAAAGGAAATATACTTCTAATATCTGCCATTTGCAGCAGGATTGCTGAGATTATCTCAGACTATCATCAGTGCATTCATTTCACTAAATTAATTTTATTATTAGCGGCCTATCTGCAGTCTCTTGTAACCAAGCTTCTTTTCATTCATTATCTTAAACAGAGGAAAGCTGTTAGTTTATTCAAAACATTTATATTGTGTTCCGCCATTTTATTATTATTATTGTTTGGGCAATTGAAATGTGTATGTAAATTTGTGGGGCATATTATTGAGGCTTTTCGAATTTTTTGGAATTAACATTCTTTTTACCAGTTCAACCCATTGGTGAAAGCACTGTCATTGTAAGCAGCATAACTTGAAAGTTACTCTCTTGTTTCTGTTCGTATTTACATAACTCAAAGTTTTGGTAGCAGTGGGAAGGAAGCAAGCACATCTTCTTAAGAATAGTTTTGTATTTAAATTAAAATGGTGATTTAGTGTGTTACTATTTAAAGTTAAAAAAATTTAATGTATCAAAAATTAATGGTATTAATTTTCCATGATCCAATTGTCATACATGTAAATTGATTAAATTAAAAAAAATGTTCTATTTTGCATTCGAGTTTATTAGTTCTTAGTGAATTTGCTAAAAA